CATTTTTTAATGTCAAAGCTTTGTCAGCTTCAGAGATTCATTCACAACATTTGAGCTAAATAGAGACGCACCTGTGATTGTTAATCCATTAGATCATGTAATCGGATTAATCACAGGAGAAACGGGAAATTTATCAGGAGAAATGGGCCAAAATTCTGGCTAATTAAAGTTTAGCTAGAATTTTAAAAGAAAATTCTACCCAAAAAATGAGGAAACATTTGTAAATTTCTGACTTTAAAGAAAGCTACAAGAAGTTTGATTTAAAAATGATTTTTTTTCTGTCTGACGTTTAGCAAATAGAAAAAAAAGTGTTGATTTTAACAGGAAACATTTGGACTCATTGTGTCTGTTTACGCATTATATAAATATCCAGTTTCAACTCTTATGTGTCGTGAGAAAGACATTTGTCAATTTCAAATAATACACCATGTTGGCTTGTTTTGATAAATATTTAATGGCAAACAACAAACCGTGAGAAATCTGGAATTGTATGAGGACGAACACTTCAGCCTGATGGTTCAGCTAATGTCTCAAGCAAGTAGGTAAAAATACGCTTCCCTTAGACACTGCAGCGCAGCAGACATTGTAGTAACTGTGTTATTGGGTGTGTCACTCACCGTTATCAGCCAGGCTGTCTTCAGTAGGCAGGGAGGGAAACAAACAGCTGTTTAAATGTGACACAGGCAGAAATATGAAGAAAACCACTAGATCATTGTTAATTATATCTGTATTATGTGTTTACAAATGATAGACAATGGAGACAATAAAAACTTTGGTTTTACAACCTTCAAAGGGCTGTTAGACTTCACAGAAAGACAATAAATGGTAAGTTGGTTAAAGGGATATACACAATTTCTGTATCCACTTCACAATAGGACTTGTGTCCTGATTACACCAGTTTGCGGAGCGTTATTTGAATTTTTTTCACTGTTGATTTCATAATCATGTAGACTGTTTGCAAGAACTATGACTTTGCAATGCAAAACCTATAACAGTGGGATCAAAGTTGATCAAGACTACTGTCACAGGTAGAAGGTTTGTCGCTTTTTTAGAGATACAGAGAAAAGATAAATCAGACAATAAACAGCTAGCTAACTTGATAGCAGTACTACGGTAGCTGCTATCAATCTGTCAGACTGCAGTTTGAAACTGTACATTTATGAGTCAGATGCTCGAGATCAGCTGATGAGAAACGACGGAGACACATTGAATGGAGCCCTGAAATGCCTGGATGTCTCAGTAACTGTGCAAAATAAGTGTCAATGGTCCACTGATGTAAAAGAAATAAAATTTCACAATTGTTGTGTTTCCATTAAATACGAAATGCAATTAAAATCACATGTGAATAAGTTTGTTAATGTGATAAGTCATTAAAAGCATCCCATGCCATCAACCTCCAACTACTTCCTGTTGTCTTCTTCGTGGTTTTCACCAGTGGCAACATCAAGTTTGACACACATGACACGTGTGATGCAAAAAAAAGTGTTTCCGTTGCAGTTTTGAGAGATGAACCAATTCCAATACGACCGATAAAACCATCTGATCAAGCCATCTCACTGTGTTTTCATTAAGTGAATTTATTTTCTAAATGCCAAATTGCGCGATTAAATGATTAATGGAAACGCAGCAAGATAAACCTAGATGAACTGAGAGATAATGATAAATATTCTCACAAGGTCTGATGCATGAGTGAACCTGGGATGGATGACACCACCACTGCTCCTTGTGTTTACTGTGAAGACAAAAATAGAGAGATGAACAGCGAAATAATTACAGCTGCAAGCAGCAAACAGTTCTCAAGTAGAAATCCTGCACTCAACAAGGACAAATCTATTTAAAGCCATGACAGAGAGCCACATGATGGAGATTAAAAATGAGCCAAAGTAGTGGCAATGCTGCAGTGAAAAATTAAGTTCTGGTAATCTTTGTGTGGTGAGAAGCAGAAATAATTCTAGTTTCATGCAAGTATGAATTAAAAGACAGCTTGTGTTTATGTTATAGTCCAAAAAGCATTTACTTTATTATTTTATTATTATTTACCTGCACCAGTAACACTTGTATATATGCATTTGTATTTAAAGTCACACTTATAGTTTTTCAGTATTTCTTCTGTGTACTACAGTAGCCAAGCAACGACATTTTGTTGCCAAATTCACTGTCGTGTCTTTCTGCAATGACAATGAAGTAAATCTAACGCTAACTCTAGCAGTGATAGAGTTATTAAACAATGAGCAGCTAATTGCTGCATTATCAATTAAGAATGTATAGATTTACAATCAGCGTAAGAGTAGTGTGTAAAACTGTAATAAAAGAAAATATGTTAAAGAGTTTAAAAACAGTAGTTGTACATTAGAGGGGTTAATATTGAATTATGTTTGATTCTTCTTAGAAATCTAACAATAGGCTTTTCAACAAAAAAAGTGGATAATAAAATACAAAGAGAAACATTTTGTTTTTTTCTTTTACATTTGTGAACAAATTGCTCCCTCTGGCGGCAGTTTGAGCTGCTGGCAGGTATGCAAGTTTCTGTGTGTGTGTGTGTCTGTGTGTGAACCTGGTTTTTATGTCCTGGTGAGGACCTATGTCTGTCTACAATGTGGGATTGCAGGGACCACTGCTCCTTTGAGGACATTTTCTTGGTCTCTATGAGGGAAAATGCTGTTTTTGGGTTAAGGGTCACGCATGTGAGGGTTAGGGTTGGATTTAGAGATATGGTGTGAATTAAGTTTTGTCTAGGATTGAGGTAAGTGTTTTGGGTTAGGCATATCTCACTGAATGGAAGTCAATACAAACTTCTAATGTGTGTGTTAGTGTGTGTCACCTCCTCAGCATGCTAGCGGAGGGAATTAGCCCAGCAAAGGAAGCGCCACAGGGCAGCTTTCTGGCCTGCCACCACAGAGCGTCTGATTGGTCGACCACCTCCAGCAGGTCGCCTCTAATGAAAGCCATTCCTGCATCCGGACACGGGATGGAGGAGTCCTGTAGGGGGCAGTAGTCCACCATCGCCCTCATGTACACCTTAAAGACAGACACCAAAATCAAGAAATAGATACTCAAAATAAATGGAGCTAGCATGTTTTCTCTTTTTTTTTGTTCAAAAGTTGCAACACTGCATTTCGTCTTCTGCAGGTCCAAAGTACTTTTAGATGATTATATAGTAAGAAAAGTTGGTTAAAAAGTAATTTAAAAAAAAACTACTTGACAGCATTTAATGAGTACTGGTTTAGAGGTAAAAATTTAAAATTTTAAGAAAAATTAGTTTAATTATCACAGACAGAGCATGAAAGAACATGCTATAAAATTAAAAACTAACCTTTTGAACTAGCGTACATAAAATTTTATCATTAGCAGCTGTGCTAAGTGACCATTGGATCAATATATTGCTGTAACTGACTAGTTTTACAAAGTAATAACATTGAAAACCACGTGAAGCTTAAAATGAGTAAGTATTCCACAGAATCAGCTGAGTCAGAATAAAATTACCTACAAGTGTAAATAAAGTATAAGTAAAGTTATCTGAACCAGAGTTGCAGCTCTACTCCACATTTCTTGCCCTTCAACTTCCTGTCTGATGGCAGCACTGTTTCCTGATTGGCTTAAAGTTTTACCAACACACATGACATTTTTAACTTTAAACCCTTTATCTCCTGAGGTTGCAGGTCCCAAAGTGGACGTACTTTATTGGATCTCCACTTCCTTAAAGCTCATTTTGGAAAATATTTTGCACGCACCTTTCCAAGACATTTGATGTGTACTTGAACTTATTAAATTCAAATGAATGAGTCGATGCTTTATTATATATTATATGCTTACTTTAGACTCAGGTTAAACCTAAAATGCGGAGGGTTTTTCTTACTGGCTTCTGGCTGCTGGTGACCTGCGTTGACCTCGGGATAACTTTGAACAGAATAGTTCCAATCGAACTGTTCTGACGGGGAGAAACACAGACAGGACAATTAATATGACTGAAAAATGACTACATATGCACACCTTTATAGAACAGACTAATCATAACCTGACGTTTCTGGAATGATTCAGAAATTTGCTATCTACAAAATTAAATCTAAAATGACTTACAAGAAGAGATGATGGTAGATAGTTCAAGATTCCTGCTGCTTCCTAATTATTATTAAGCTACATGTAATAACATTTATAACAGTACCTAATTAAATCCACCACCAAATTCAATAAAATTTGTCCACAAATTAAAAGTTAAAAGGAAACCAAGCAGAAAAAACAAATGTAATTCACTGGATGCATTTGATTTAAATGAATTGTCAATTATATCCAGCATAGGTGGAATACATAAATATTTATTTACTTTTACAACAATTAACTCAGATTCAGTCACAATTGATATTATTCCAAGTGATAAAAAAAGACAACAAAAAGATCAATTAGTCATACCACATCAGATAAAGTTTTCTTCAGCTTTTGCTGTGTGATTTCTGGTATTATGCAGTAACTGGTGTAATGCTTTAGTAAATTTTAAAAATCTCCGTCTTATGCTGCCAAATAACATAATATTCAAATTTCCTTTTGCAAAAGAAATGCATAGAAAATACGTTTTTAACATAAACTGACTTACTTGAGTAGCACAAAGAAAATACAATGAAAAAGCATTAAAGGGCCAGTAATGTGTTTTCCAGGCACAATAGCACAATCATGTAACTATATTCCCTTCAGTTGTGCTAAAAATATATATTAAATATGACTTAAAGAAAGTTTGACTTTAAGTCATATTTGACCTTGAAATTGGGCCTCTGTCTCTTTAAGAAGCTCCTGCTCTTTCTGAAACTTCAGATAAACCTACCAGTATCTGGATGACTTTTTCTGGTTCCAGCCCCACCACTGAGTTGCCATTCACCTCCACTATAAGATCACCAGGATGAAGGAGTCCTGAAGCAGAAATCAGCAGTAACTAATGAAAATATTTGTTCTTTTTCACTCAAATACCCTATCAAGCACTGTCTCAGACAGCTGTGAAAGGTTTTATCTCACCACTGCGGTCTGCCAGTCCTCCATGAATCACTCGGGCAATGTAGATGTCTCCTGTCACCTCGTCCCTCCTTATAGTCGCTCCCTGATAGACAGAAATGACTCACCTGTAATGCCTTCTGAAACAACTGTAGTACAGCTTGTGGGACAGGAGTATAGAAAAGGATGGAAGCCCAGCAGTTTAGTGGGAGAAAGCTATGATGATCAGAATGACTTCTGAAGAAAGAGTAAGATCTGCCCAGAGCCGCCATCTTGTTTTACAAGCATATTTTTATTTGGTCTTTGAATTCAGGTCAACTGCAAAAAGGGATAATTGAAATAAAAGCTTTTGTTTTTGAAAATATTTTCTGTCATTTCTCATTCCATTTATTTAAGAAAATAACNGGNTGTGGGGACATTTCTTTTTTAAATTAAAATCAGAAACTTGATTTGGTAGGAAGATTTTATTTTTAAGCCAAATTGCTCAGCCCCAAATGGAACAGCAGCATAAAATTATGGTTTTGATGGGAAAATGGGAACAATTGTCACAATTTATCTTAAAGGAAAATCAAATTAAGCAGATAAAAGTTCTTTGTACCTTTCATTTAATTTCCTTTTATCTCCTTTGGCTGATCCACTAAAATGCAAAACTGTGTCTGAATTTGTCCCATGAAAAAGTCTATATGAATTTGTAAGAAAAGGCCTGGTAAATCAGTTTTAGTCTGTTTCTAATGATGATGCAGACGTTATCTCTAAAGTAGCTGCTTATTTTTCTTCTTCTTGCTCGTTGTCAAGCAGCCTGTGATATTGCAGTCCTGCTTGTCTTCCTGTTGCGCTCTTGTGACCGCTCCATTGTGGAATCGAGCATGTCCGTTATGGTCTGCACCATCTGATCGCTTGCTGGATTTATTTCCTCCGTGCAATCCCTGTGGGCTGTGGTATCCTGCAAAACCATCTGCACAGGAACCAGCAGAAGAAGAAGAGGAGGAGGAGGAAAAGCTGGAGGAAGCAGAGGAGTGCGAGAGCAGCCGTGGATAAGGCGTGGGAGGTTTGTGGATCATCACCGGAGATAACGAGGAGACTCTTGGCGGCAGTGTGGGCCGCTGGTTCGGGTTCGGCCTGCATGGTGGAGACGTCTCGGGGTGGTTTCTGGCCACGATGATCCCCTGAAGCTTATCGACCACCTCGGCAAGAAGATTGAGGGCCTGGACGTTTTCTTCGACGCGATCCGTGATCATTTCTGTCGCCGCCACCATTTTCTGTTCCAGGTGGCGTACATCCTGGCTACTGTGTTCGATACTGCTGGCCACAGTCTGAACCGTGGTCCTGAGCTCCTCCATGCTGCAGATTTTGTCAAACTCAGGAGGTTGATGATGTTTCTGTGGTTGCTGCTGTGGTTTGTCATGATGTGGAGAAGAGTTGATAATACACGAAGGTCTTAAAGACTCTTTTTGACAATGCCTCACAGGATTTGGGAGAGTGCTGACTCCTTGTTGCCTCATAGAAGGTTGAGTAGCAGGAATGACTGGTGCTGTGTGGACCCTACAAGGAGTAGGAATGCTCCTTGATTCACCTCCTGGAGCAACCTTTTTGTACATAAGGGGAGAGTTGGGAAGACTGACAGTGTAGGCCGAGATTGGAGGGGGAGGGTAAGAATAGTCGTCACTGCTCCCTCCGCTAGAGGCATCGTCCTCTTTGTTGGGCATGAGTCTCTCTGAAATATACCAGTAGGTGAGAGCAAAAGAAGAAAAGTACAGAAGTTTAGAAAGTGCAAGAAAACATGGCAGTGGATTCAGGTGATGTTTCTTTTCCAAGGTTTGATGTTGCCATGAAGGAAATTATGAAAGGTATGAGTGGGCATTTGATGTGAAAGACGCATGGATGTTGTTCCTATGGGATATTTAAAAGATGAAGATGGACTAACATCGCGAAAGGTTAATGCCAAGAGCACTGGATGAACGCGATGATGGCTAGTGATGAGTTGATTCATTATGATTCTCCACCATTGTGGCTTAGGTGACGATGCACAGGTCGGTTCTTCTCTTACCAGAACATGTTTCTGGATTCAAGACAGCCGGAGCTGAGTGGTTGAGCCCTTGCTTCAAAAGTTCTGCGTTTTGTGGACATAAACGACAACTTCCCATCGACTCGTAACGGGGAACAAAGTGGCAGGGCAGATTTCCATGGAGAGGCAGAGGCCTGGCCTCGCTCTCGGCCATTCTGAGCTCCTCCCCAGACCACGCCCTCCTGGCGGGGATGAGGCGCTCCAACGTGAGTCGACGAAGGCTGCTCCAATGGCTACGGCACACTCCGACCCGGTCTTCAGAACTTCTGTATCCCTTTTCACGCTTGGAGCATGAACAAGAAGAAACTCAGTATTTTTTAGGGTTTTAAGAGGGTTTTTGGTAAGTTGTCATTTTCTGTTTGGGCTTCAAATTCTTGGAATACACGACCATTACACCAGAGAAATATTACATTATTGAACTGTTTCACCAAATCAGTTAAGTAATGGGTATTAGATAATCAAAATGGCACTATATTGACAAATGTTTTTATGTTTTTTTCTTACAGATTTGACTTGTTTTTATTTTCATTCTAAATGTTTACTGTAAATTACACTACTTTAGGTATAGATTGAAATCTGTCATAAATCATAGGTCATGTATGTTGTTATGGATGTTAAGTGTAATTTTTTAATCCCTTCCATGAACCTGGTAGGGGACTACAGATGAAAGTTTGGCTAAATCTGGCATATTTACGTGATTCATGTTGCTTAATATGCATTGTTCCCTTAATGAAATAAATTAAATTCACAATTAAAATTTCACAAACTACTTCATCACTATGTCATCTTGTAGTGATCCAGTTGAAATATTCCAATTTATTTAGATTATAAAGGGTTTTATAAGAACATCTGACAACTTAAAATAACATCACAAATGACAAAAAAAGGTCAGTAAATCAGCTACTAAACATTGAAAATCATATTTTTTCCATCATTAGGCTTAATTGCTGAGTCTTAAAAAAGTAAAACAACACTTTTATCTCACCAGAGGTTGGTTATTCTTTACAAGACAAACGATCCTCATGGCCTCCTCGTCCTCAGGTAACTCATCAGGCAGGGGAGAAAGGACGGGTAAATAGTCTGACTGCGCCACGCTGTCGTGAGATGATAGGAGGGCCTAGTGGACACATTCATACATGCTCAGACAACATCAACGATGACTTGGGTAGAGAAGATTTGCTGGAATCCAAGATCAAACCTGGACATGTGGTGAGCTGAGGAGGTTGTAGAGCTCACGAGCTTCAGCTGAAGGACGGTGCGCTCTTTGTATGATGGCCATGATCTGACGAAACAGGCAAGAAAATGGATGAATAGTGAATCATAAATTTCCCCAACATTCTGAATTAATATGATGTGAATATATTTCCTCCTAACTAATGGTTTTTGCATTTTGTCCTATTGTAATTGCTGGGGACAGAAGTTGCAATATTTGTTACATTTTCAGCTGTCAAACAATCCAAACCCTTCGAAAAACCTGTTCACCCCCTCGCCTGTGGTGGCGCTACACCAAGAACTACTGAAGGAAATGACACAATAACCTTTCTTCTTCTCTAAATGGAAACAATAATGGTGTAGCATCAGATTTTAGTGGTTGTAAGACTTCCCTTTTGTTGTTGGCAAAGACCACAACCAATTTCTCCCACTTGCTATATTTACCCAGAATTCCAAGCGTTTTAGTCCACTTCCTGCTTTTGGCGCAGTCTCAGGTCCCCTTTGCATTCACATATGCATTCAAACAACACAAGAGTTCAATTCAACTGAACTGAAACTTAAGTTTTTGGTCCACAGGAGAATTTGACTGCATATTACCACCTCCCCAAACAAACCAGACTTTCTAGGCTAACAAACTGGAGTTCGATCAAACTGAAGTAAACAGGGCTGGTGTGAATCCACCCTTACTCACCTCAAATAAGAGTCCAGAGGCACAAGGTAGAAGGGGACTTGGTGACAATCTCTGGAACTGCATCAGGCACTCGTAAATCTAAAGCGGTAAAACATGCAATTGTATAAGAATTACCCAGCTCCATAGTAGGTTACATCCTTTGCTAAACCATAGAAATACCTTTAGTAAGGCGCGGAGCCATGGAGCGCTCAGTAGTTCATGCAGAAGCTGAGAGCCACTAATGTTTCTGTTGACGGCTTCACTAACATCCTCCACAACGCTGGATAATACTTCACTGACCCCTGAAAGCATAACATAATAGAGACCTTAGAAGCATCACTATGCTACTGATTATTGTAATGCCAAAATTTCTGAACAACAGCTGTGATTTTCTGGTGTCAGAAAGAAAGTTCTCTATAAGAGAGAAGACTTTTTTTCTCCACTCAGTTGTCCAGAAAACATTTGTGTGCATCAGTGAATTAATGTTCTCTGATTATCTTTCCAGTGGCTGACTAACTTGGCTGGATGGACACTTGATACAGTGCATGGTATCATGAGCTCTTTGAAATATCAGGAGATTTTTCAACTAAAACCCAGTGGCCAAAACCCAAAAGTCAGTGGGTTTTCACAATTATTGAAAACATATGGTCAAATTAACACAGAAACTGATATCTGAACAACAAAAACAACCTCCTTTCGTTGCCATGTCACTCCCCAGACCTACGCATAACATGCCTGGTGGGTGAGCAGCAGAAAATATAAAGTATCTAGGACCCTAACCAATCCAGAGAGAAATGTACTGCCATGTATGCAATAGGGTGTTGTGCAAAGTAGTAACAATAAGGGTACCAACTATCAGTCATATGGTTTAAACAAAAACAACATTAATTTATATTAAATATTTGAGCAAATCTTTGCTATGTATGCCACGGTGCTGTAATTATACCTAAACATGCTACCCCAGACATAAGTTGAGTTACCTCCACTTTTGTCGTAATTGACAAAAGTGGTCAGATATGTCAGACTCTATAGAAGGTCACATAGAGCTGTGTGTCTCTTAGTGTGTTTGTTTTCTCACCATCCTCCATAGTTTCTCTCATGGTGATCATCCAGAACCACCATAGAGGAATTAATTGCTATTTCTCCTGTAAGGAAACCAGACAAAATACATTACAACGTCATTACAGAGAAATATTACTGAGCAAGTTGAATATGCCCTAGGTAGTCAGCATATTTGTTTATAATACAAACTTAAAACTATGTATTTACACATCACATGTTAAATAGGTATCATATTGTTTATGATATGCTATTAATGCTGTTTGTGAGGTCAAGAAATTGATGTGAAGCAGCTCGACAGTCCTACAGCCTAATCAATGTTTTTTTTGTCAATACTTTACCGATATCACTCTGGTCGCTGGTTTTGATTTCAGTTTGTGGCTGGAGCTGTTGACAGATGGCTCATCTGAGCTTTCTGTAATAGACTAAAGCAGCTCAAATTAAGGTGGGCAGACCGAAGGCAGCTGCTGGCCTTAATACTTATCACTTTCAGTATCTGTGGTAAAACAAGCACGTATAATCATGTTCTCAAGTGGAGGAGTTTAAGTATCTCAGGGTCTTGTTCACGGATGAGGGAGAAAAGGAGCGGGAGATTGATAGGCAGATTGGAGCAGTGTCTGTACCGGTCTGTTGAAGTGAAGGGAAAGCTGAGTCAAAAGGCAAAGCTCTCGATTTACCGGTCGATCTACGTTCCTGTCCTAATCTGCAGTCATGAACTTTGGGTGGTGACTGACAGAACAGGTGAGAAGCTTGGTCCTTCAGGAGGGACTCAGAGTAGAGCCACCGCTCCTCCATGTCGAGAGGAATCAACTGAGGTGGCTCAGGCATCCGGTTAGGATGCCTCCAAGTTGAGGTGTTATGGGCACGTCCAACGAAGAGGAGACCCACAGGAAGACCTAGGAGACGCTGGAGGAACTATGTTTCCAATTTGGCCTGGGAACGTCTTGGGGCTGCCTCTGAAGAGCTGGCCAAAGTGGCTGGGAAGAGGAAAGTCTGGGCCTCCCTACTTAGGTTAAATAAAAACAAGCAGTGATTTGAAGTTTGATTGATGGTATTTAACAAAAAATATAGTGGGGCTTTTGAAAGGCCTGGAAAAGGACGAGAAAATCACTGCTTTATGCTAATTTATCAGGTTATTCTACATTTTCTAGAAACGTGCTCTAAACATGTTTGTTTAGAAGAAGGGGTCACTCCCAAGCCACTGACCCCATCAGGTGGGCTTCTTTTGACAATATTGCATCAATCGTTATTAGCCAACCCATCTACCTGACTGGATTGATTTGTTTATATATTTCTGGCTATAAGGTGGATCCATTTGCCTTGTAAAGTGCCTTGAGATCACATTTGTGTAAAATACACTGAATTAAACAATTCATTGGCATTTCATCTATTGAGAAAGACAATAAATGCTTAATTTTATTTAAAAAAAACAACTACATTTGTGTACACTATTCAACATTAATACAGCTGCAGTAGACTTTAGGTCTAATGTTAATCAGTTTAGCTTGTATTTGTCTCATCTGTGCATTTAAGCGCATAAAAAAAAACGTACTTACATGTGGTCAGCTCACAGACAACAGCATCAAAGTACCTTTCTCCCTTTGGTTTGGGTTCCCTGAGCGTGTTGATTCAAGGTTTGATCTTTGAGACGGAGTGAATCAGCAGTGTGAGCATGTCAGCCGCAGCCAAAAGTGACTGACATGGAGGTTAGTTTACAACCAAACCCAACCTGACACTAATCCTCTCTAACCCAGCTTAATCTACCAACCTCTCCCTCTCTGCCTCCACTTCATCCCGCTTTCTCGCTGAAATTCACAAATCTTTTCCTGGTTTTCTTTTGTAAAGAACTCAATCCATTTTCCTAGCCTTCTTTTACATTTTTGTGTTGTCAAGAAATTTTTAAAATATATTTTGTCCTTTCCTTCCTGTTTTACTCATTCTATGTAGCTCAGCGGATCACAAAGCTTCTTAGTCGGTCGCCGCTTTTAGCCACAGACACACAAACCCACACACTGTTCTTTGTGAGGACCTTTGTTTACATAATCTATTAACCTAACCTGATACCAGATTAGGTCTTAACCAGAATATCCAAGTGTTAAATTATATGCAAATACTCCTTGAGCTTTCCGAAAGTGAGAACTAAAAAGCACGTCTTCACTTTTTTAAATGTCCCCTCTTGGGGATTTTAAGGGAACTTGGTAGGAAGTGGTCCTCACGTTGCTCTGTCAACAAGTACACAAAAATGCAATAAATGCATAGTTACGTTACATTAAATCCCACTGGAACATCTGCGCGCTGAAGACGCCAGCTGCTTGCAGCTGTGTGCATGTGTGTATGTGTGTGTGTGTGTGGAGTTATCCTGGTGCAAATGTCAGTGGGTCGCCTCTTCAGAGATTACCACTGATCCCACAATCACAGAAACAGAGACGGAGAGGCCCCACACAGGAATAGATGGAAGAAAACATGGCTTCCACGGCGGGAGTGATGCTTACACACTGCTTTGTCAACCATGCAATATATGTGTCAATACACCAATGAGACTCATACATCCACATAATCTGCATAAAATTGATTTTTCATTATTTTTTAGTAACATCAATGTCATTTTCCTCACATAGGTTTACAAGATAATGTCAGAGAGTAAAATTGGCCAAAAAAAATCAACCACCAGCTCTACAAAGATTGACAGAGATTGATAGCATTTCCTTGTTTTTAGTCTTTTATTTTGAAAACTTTGATAATTATACGTTAAAAACACTCAGCTCTCACACATAAATAATTTTGTATTTTATTGGTCACTCGTGTTTAACATATCAAATACATATCTGTCATTTTGTGGAGTGCTGTCTTTAAAATCAACAACACACAACAAATACGTTCCAGTTCAAAGTAATTCTAAACAGATGAGTTTTTAGTCTGGATTTAAAAAACTCAGTGTTTCAGCTGTTTTGCAGTTTTCTGGCAGTTTGTATTGTAAATAGTTTTGATTATGTCTTAAACATTTAAGTATTACAAATAGAAATCTAAAGAGGGCAAAACACATTTTCACAGTTGTGCTCCTACTTGCTTCAGGGGTGTTTGGATAATGCCCTCCTTTTCTACACTACTGCAAAAATGTTAAGGAATAAATTACAAAATTGTACAAACAAGCAAAACATAGTTCACTTATAGCTGGAGATTTCAAATGTAGTGAGAAACAACTTAAGTTTTAAACACATAGTTAACAAATGACTGAAACAATTCACTGTATAATGTTAACGAAATGAGGCAAAACAACTGTTATTAATGTTTACTTGTATTTGTACAATAAATTTTATAAATTACAAACCTATAAATCATGCGAATGCAAACAAAATTAGCCATCTTCATCGGCAAATATGTGATGTACAGATCAAAGGTAGTACAAATAATTTTAAGGTCACAATTTGGGGTTATTTGAAATATATTCCTAAATTGTCAAATGTATGAGACTTAAATACATTTGATTTTAACAAAATGTTTAACTCAATTTTACAAAGATTTATTTTATCAATTTAGTAAAAAAAAACTACTACACCCTAATGTCTACATTTACTTCAACAGAAGACATTATTACTAATTTCTTCATATGCAACCACTCTGAGGTTGTTTTGACATATCTTAAAATATATTTTTTTATGTTTTTATGTGATTATTTCTGTAAAAAAAATTATGGTATATGACAACAAACTAAACAATTTCAGTCAACGCTAAATGTTGCTACATATTTTCACCGCATTTGGGAAGACCTAAGACGACACAGGCAATTTTTTTCTCAGGAATAGCAAAACAAAAATCCTCTTTCGAATTCTTGTGAGTTTAAATCCATAAAGTAGAGGATTCATAAGTGGAGGAATAAAGACAACGGCGAGGGAGGAAAAGTTCTGGAAGCTCAGAGGAAGATCGTATGATGTAAATCGCATGTGCATCAAGTCAGACACCACAATGACGAACAACGTGACGAGAGAGATTAGATGTGGGACGCATGTCTGCATGAACTTTGCCCTGTCCTCTTTGGATTGCACGCATGTTTTAACAATGTATATGTAAGTCCAGACCACAAAGAGCCAATGCGCTACATAGATTGACAAAGTGGCTAATGCGTAAACATTATTTATGACAGTGTTGGAGCCAGGGCAAGCAAGTTTAACAATCACCCAGTTTAGACAGAAGAGCCTCTGTATGTTTGTTCCACAGAACCTCAATCTGGCTGTCAGGACAATGTTGACGGAAAAAATGCAGAAAGGAGTTAACCATGACAGGCACACCAATGAATAAACCCTTCTGTTTGTCATGATTGAGTGGTACTGCAGAGGCAGACAGATTGCCAGGTATCTGTCATAAGCCAAGGCGGTAAGAATGGACGTATCACTGCAGACGAACGAGTACAAGACAAAAGCCTGAACCAGGCATCCATGATAAGAGATGACCTGAGAAGATGACAGAAGGTCAGCGAGGAATTTTGGGTAAAACCCAGCCGTGCCGTAAAGTCCATTAACGCAGTGAACACATAACAGAATGTACATGGGCTCGTGTAAGCATTCATCTGACACAATCACAATGATAATAGCAACATTAAAGAACAGGATAGCAAAGTAACAAAGCGATGCAAGAGAAAAGACAACAGCTCTGTAGCCGAGTGTGTCATTAAACCCTGACAGGGTAAAAACCTCCTCCATGATGGAGAAGGATAACCTTCCTCCTCTGCTGCAGCTACCTGGCCCCTCTTCCTCAGCACCTGGTATTAATATTCTGCTTGACAGCAAAGCAAACTCTGGGGATTCTCTGTGTGATCTCAGCAAGGCCGACATTTTGTTACTTTTAGCTGTGAATGTCTTTCATTGTATTGAAAATAAATCTTATTCCCAACCTGGCTAATTGCTGCACAAAACATAATACACCACAAACAGAGTACTTTGAAAAAGATTTGTCCTTTACAAATGTGTTTGTCACCAAAAACTATTTGTATGTGGACAAGCGGTGCAATGGAGCAGAAAACTGGCATGTTTGCAAAACTCCAGTGCTAATATTAACAATGCCTGAGTATGTGTTGAGGAACAATATAGTTCACAATGGCTGCATAAAATGTATGAGCCAAATGAAATGCTGCAGAGGGTTTTCTACGAGCAGAATGATGTCTATGAGTTTGAGAACTACCTAAAAAGATTTGATATTTAGCGTTCATAAAATTCTGAATAAAGCTGAAAAGATATAGGACTTGGGACATTATCTCATGTCAGTAATGATGAGATAATGTCATAATGTCTCATCATTATCTCAAATGATGAGATAATGACATGTAGCATGTCCTCAAATTCAGATCTATGATTTTTTAAAATGTATATTTAAGCTTGCTGTCATAGTCCATTGCTTTTGAAATATAAAATAAACAATTTAGCTTTTAGGTTGTCATCCTTGGGAAACAAATTGCTCTATTCATGTGACTTGTGAATTAATTTAGTTAGTTTTAGAAAAATAAAACACCAACTTTTATTGTCGTTAAAGTTTAGTGGCTTGGCTGCAGTTTTGCTAGAGTTATTGCCTCTGTCCAAATCCCATGAGATATTGACCTGTTGACCAACTTTACAATTATTTTTGTTTGCGATTAGAGACGTAATTAAGGAGAAGTGATTGGGTGGTATCTAGGGAATATGTAATGACTTATATGACCTATCATATTAGGTCAGTTCAAAGCAACTTTCTGATCACGTAAATCTATGCAACAACATCCCAAGAGTCCTTCTCACTGGACCAACTGGGTCCTCATTAGCGGTTACAGGCTGGCTGTAGACATCCAGTTCCTGAGGGATGGTCTGCTGTTTACCAAAGTGCCCACAGAGGACATTAATGACAGTCACAATTCAAAGTATCCAGGAAGCCAAAATGCAACAATTAGTGTCACAAACTTGCTTCAAGGCCTGCTGGTTGTTTGGAAACAAACTGCCTGAGTTGAGTTTGAACATGAAAGATTTCAAATGTCCTGTTTCTGATATTATTAATGCCATTACCAGTCAAAATAACTCAACAGTTTGAAATTACAGAACTTTTTGATACCAGTGGGTTGAAAATATCAAAACTAATCAGTAATTTAAATCTTCTGTAAAAAACGGCCAATTCTTCCTACTCAGACAGGATAAACCCCATCTACTCATTGTCTAACATTATGCCCAACAAACAATCCTTTGTTTGTTGGGTTGTACATCTAATGACAGCAAATGAGTTTTCTTAGGTCCATATAGGCCTTTTTATAGGGAACTTCTAAACACAGACTACCCCTTCTTTGCCTTTTCATGGAGCAGCCACTTCAGCTGTTCAGTTACGATACATAAATAAGAACGAGTAAGTCGCAGCAGCACTATTGTTTGTACTATTTCACATCTACAAACTAACTGTGCTTTGTTGTTCAATCAATTCAGATAAATAAGATTTGTGGGCCAAGTTCAACCTACCATTTTGTCAGTGGTAATAACAAAGCTCACACTGGGGCATGCAGAGCACATTCACATAGTGGCTTTAAAGAGCTCTTTAAAAGGAGTCAATGTTAAAGGGTGTATCACGTCATGATGTCATTCTCTCATCAATCACATACCTGTAATGTTGCTTTGACTCATCCATGTATGTCTGAGAAATCCTCAGATCTCCCATAGCATTAACGGGGGCCTACTCATGCAATACACTGCCTATTAACTATGAGCTATTGCATTCTGGCGACTACAAGAGTCAGTAAAACTAGTTAGGGAAGGTCACCATGAACAAAATGATTATTTGGACGTGTATCAGACAACATTATCGGCGTTTGACTGAGCTCAGGGCTTGTATCATGACCACAGAGGACTGGATTCTCCACATCATCAGGTGTCAAACCTGAAATAGAATCAACTATTAATATCCACATACAGAGTGTCATTAGCCCCACAGTAGAAATACCTGTGGTTCAACTGGTGGCTTAACCTGGAGGCAAAGCCAAGGCGGCAGTTTCAACCCAATGCTGATTTGCCAGAAATCATAAGTACCATTTGCAACATATACAGGCTAGTTTTCTTCAGAGAAAATACAACATATTTTCTCTACATTGAGGGTGTGACTGGGTGTGTCTTCTCCAAATTAACAGCTGTTTGGAGTGGCGAAGAGTTATGCTATAAGCAATGGTTGCAGTCAATGCAGTGTAAGACAAAACTTTGTCAACAGTGATGATCAAAATAGAGTCTGGTTTGGGTACAAAATACTTAAAATATTATAGTGAGTGCAATAATATAGATTAATTGAATATGACATTACATCTTTAAAGATTTCAGACACCTTAAATATTGTTAAGCATATAAACAGTTTGAATTATAAACAGTTGAGAAACCTTCTCTATCTATCTATCTATCTATCTATCTATCTATCTATCTATCTATCTATCTATCTATCTATCAGTTTTGTTTCATACTGTGTTTTTGCTATGTCTATTTACCTAGTTATAGTTTTTGATTGCCACACCTGCTTTGCATCTATTTATACCTGTCAATAAAAAATAATCACTGATTCCTAAATTGAGTCTTTGACTAAGTTTGTTTTCTTTTATTGTTCAGGTAAGCCCTTATATTTGGCATTTTCTGGTTTTTGAACATCCAGATTAGAAGCGTCTTTGATTTTGTTATAAAAACATAATATTTCTTTTGTAACTTTTTGACCTTAAAACTTTGTCTGCATTATATGTGGATTAGATTTCCCTAAAACAAGGTCTTTATTCGGTGAAAGTTGCAAACTGCACAATTTTGCATACTGACAGTTTCCAATTGTGAAAGTTTGTTCGCATTTCACGCATAGTCTCTTCACTGTTTTTTGTAAGACAAATGTTAGTTTTTGAAATCCACAATCAGCAATGATACAGCAATATTGGGCTTTAAAAGCCAGCTGTCCATATCAACGATATGTTTTTATGTTTTTATTTATTTTAACATTATGCATAGATACATTAACATGAGGGTAAAAGAAGGTTTTCTGTAAGTGGACTAGTTTAACAACACTTTGTGATTTCAGAGGAGAGGATCATAAATCCCAGTGGTCCAGCTCATTGTAGCCACTGGGTGATAATTAACTGTTCTGGCTTGGTTCTAGTCAGGCCAGTCCTCTGAGGCCGGTCCTGTTTACCTGAGTGCAGTTAAAACACAAGGGAGGCCAAAGCAAAGGACACCAATCACAGTCATTAATGAACTCTGACAGGTCAAGAGAGACCGGTTAGCTCATTCCCAATCATTGGTCTTTCTCACTGGACCATGCCGAAGTTTTCTAAACATATTGCATCACGCTAAGTGGAACTGGTTCTTTCCTTTCAACTTAGACACACACTCGCAATGCAACCCAACAACTTTTGTCACTTTCTGAATAACTTCCTGGTAACTTTCTAACTCTGAGGTTCACCTGGTTTTAGGCTTTCACAAATTAAGTTACTGATATAGAAATAATTCATTTTTGATAGCAGGTAGAGGTGGGAATACATCCTCCACAGAAATATTAAAGAATAACAGTTTGTACCTGACTTTAAGACTGAGAATTGTTCCATGCTTTCCTAAACAGAAAAGCGACATTTGTGAAAATTATTAGTGAAAAAGCCAAACCATGTGAAATCTTTCACAATGTGCTGGAGAAAACAGACTCTTTAATCCTCCCTTTCTCCAAATATCAGGTGGCTGACGACATTAATCTCCACACAATTAATGACTCGTTTCAAGTTATTTTTGGCAGCAGAGCCATGGCTTCCACTTGTATAAGTCAAGCTAGCACCCCTTACTTATTAATGAAGTATATGAACGTCAATGTTCTTACCTTTTAAAAGGTGTTTGCTGGAAATTGCTGCAGTCCACTGGTGAAATTTGAATCCAGCTCTATGCTAGTTCTAAGTCAGATGTAATGGGCCACACTTAAAGGACTTCACTATTCTCTCCTCCGGTCAGAATAAGATCCTCACCAAAAGCTTGGGAATCAGGAAAAAGAACATTATTTTGGGGGGCAGGCAGGATGGGTTTTTGCGTTTCTTTTAATAAACAGTGGTTCTACAATGCTTTCATGATTTCTCTATTTATGGATAAATGCCCTGTGGGTTCAAAAAACTTCAGAAATTGGTTTAATTCCAGATTGCCACATGTCAAAGACTCTGTTCTTGGATTTCTTTAGATTGTGTTGTTTTTGTAGCCTATTTCATGTTGTCAGACAGGCTCGATTTTAGTGACATCTCTATTCTAAATGTCTGGCAGTAATCAGGTCTGGATGTGGCAGGTGAAACTGAAAACATGATTAACCTCATGCTAATTAAATTAGAGATATTTACATTACTGGCGCTTCAGGCATCAGGTTTGTTCAGAAGATCTAAGACTTTATGGGGTTTCTGTGTCATCATGGCCTTGTTGAGAAATGTTTAGACTGGTTGTCAGAAATAAAATTTCATCTAGAGCTTTTATGTAATTCTGCTGTTTAAATGTTTGCTTTAAATTAAAATACCTTGTAGTTCTGGGTACAGATGAATTTTTCATAGCCAAAGTTTTGCACTTAATCTCTGCTGTCATGGCAATGGGCGTCATTACTTTCATTTACTCATTTGCTCAAGTAAACTTTTTGGGAAAAATACATTTAGGAGAAATTTTGCTACACAAAACCTTTTACTTTTACTTGAGTAATATGTTATCGCTACTAGTCTCTCCACTTCAAGAGACGTCACTGAATAAAGATAGCAAACCTGGATCAGACCAACGCCAGAAGTTTAGGTTAAAGTGAGACCTCTTGTTTATTCACAAGCTTTTTTGTTTTAATGTTGTTTTCTGTTATAATGTTTGTACTTTTACGCTTCTTGTACAATTTATCCATTTATCCTTCATTAAAATATGGACCGACTATGTGGCTGGAATAGAGCTACGCGACGTTATTTGACGCAGACATAGTAGCAGCCAGGCAAGCTAACGGCTAATGTCGGTGTGGCCTCTTACCTCAGGCAACAAAGAAGGGGGAAGTGCTAGAAAGGGAGAAAAAAAAAGGAAAATACAGCAAATAACATTTTTGATATGAAGAGCCTGAACGATTCAGTCACAATGGATGTATTTTGGCTATTTCTAGTTGGGCAAAAAACAAAGCAGAGTTCACGGCAAATTATATCGAACGTAACTTCTGACGTCATCAGGAAAAACCACACATTTGCTGAATCACCAGAAGCAGTGGCGCCCCCTGGAGCACGCAAAATGTAAAACAGTTCCATATGCTTATATTTCTTTTTATAGTGTATTTTATTAAGCAATATTTAAAATATTTCAATAGTATTAAAATACACAAAGAAGACTTTGAGAATTTATCTTTTCATTTATTTTAGTCCTAAAACATTCTTAAGTACAACACCACCAAAGACATTCATTAATAATTAAGATATGTACATTAAAAAGATTATTTACAATGAAAGGCCAAATAAAGAGAAGAAAAAAATAGCTTTTTTAGGTTTAATGAACAACCAATTAAAAAAGGTAAACATTTTTCATCATTATTATAAATATTTGAGATGAATTAGTCATTATTAATATAAATTAATAATGAGCGCATCAATGCTGAATCTGAAAATCACAGTAAAGACAGGTAATATTAATGGATAGTAACGTAAAAGAGAAGGCCAAAATGACAAAACCTTAAAACAAACAGTCACTTTCTCCTCGTTTGGGAGAACAACCTTCTCAGGTGTTTATAGATTTCTTTCATTTTCAGTCCATAAATGACTGGATTAAAAAGAGGACTGCACATTATTATACACATTGTCATTGCAAACCGTACAGCCTTTGAAATGTCAGATTCCAGTCTCACAATAATCATATCATAAGCAAACAAACAAGAGTAGTTGATTAACACCAGCAGGTGAGGTAAACACGTCTGTGCAGCTTTTTTCCTCACGTCCCCACAGCTTCTATAGGCCACTATCAGTATCATTGTGTAAGTGAACAGTATGAACACCATGGGAAAAACAGCAATGTTGAATAAAACAACTAGGCCGTACATCAACAAAGCTTTTGAAGCCACACAGAAAAGATAATTCACTGAATTGTTGCAAAAAATGCCTTTCAAAGTGAAGCTACAGAGCTTGGAATTGGCATTTCCAATGAAGGGCACAGCAATGTGACAAGCAGGTACAAACCAAGCTAGAACAAGGAAAACACTCACTGTTCTTTTTCTCATGATCGTATGATATTGCAGAGGTTTACATATTGACACAAATCTGTCAAAAGCCATGGCTGCTAACAGCAAATATTCTGAACAGCTTAGAGTGTAAAATGCAAATACCTGAATGAGACAAGCTTCGTACGACACGATCTGTTTCTCTGACAAGAAGTCAATCAAAAGCTTCGGGTAGATAGAAGTACTGAAAATAATAGAGTTGATCAACAAAGCAGCAATAAAGATGTACATGGGCTCATGGAGGTTCTTGTGGATCACAACCAGACAAACGACAGTAGAATTGCTGGACAGGATCAAAACATAACCTGTGACCATGATGGAGAAATAAACATACCGGTATTTTTCTAACTCCACATGGCCACCGAGATGAATGTATGTTACATTCATAGTATCAGCAAGAAGACGATTAAAAAAGTGACAGAAATAAGTAAATGAGACAGGTATAATGTCTGACAGTGTTGCTCATGAGAAAATAAACTTCTACTCGTGTCTCGTTTGTGCACAGGTCACGGTTCCTCTGTACGTTCTGAAAGGAAATGGAGTTAGATCACCTATTTAAAGTCACTCCTTTAACCACTGTGGATTTCAGTCTATTCCAAGTGGAGCTGCTGGCATGCTAACAACTCCACGTGTGTAGAAGTGTGAAAACGTATTACTGAGGAACAATGAGTTAGGTCTTTGAAATGTTTTTATCCAGTAGAAATGTTATTTCAGAACGTAGCAGTTGCTGTTGAACTGTAGCGTTCACTCAGAGTTGTGCTGTTTACACCTAAAGGGTTAATATTCCTTCATGCTGAGTCTATATGCTCAACCACACTAACACACGCTTACTAAATGTCTCTATCAAGCTTAAGTCCATTTTGTTTTCCACTGAAACTGTAATTATGAGGGAAAAATTTATCCGTTTTATCAAACAATAAACAACAAAAATAAGCGCAGTGGTTCTATGTTGGTGGATGCTCCAGAATCTGGCTCATTTGACCTGTTGCTTTCTGGTTAGACGTGAAGAAAGCATTATAAGGCTTAAACAGCTTTTGTTCATTTCTTCTTAAAGGGGCAGTATTGCTTGTTTTACAGACACAAAGTGCCATTTTATAGCACAATGTTACCTTCAGTTGTCAGAAAATTTTAAATATATATCTAATCTGACTTAAAATGAATTGAACTGTGTAATTCACTGCCTTGAAATTGAGCTTGTCTCCTCTATTATCCCTTTAACAACATTTTACCAGTGTTGCACTGAGAAGTAGCTCCTTTAAAGAGCTCAGCAGATGCTCACTTCTGTCAGGTGTTTGCTAATTGCAGCTGGCTAGTCTGAAGGAGCCAGTCAGCAGTGCGAACAGCTGAAAGGTTGCCATGGCAATTAAATTATTTCTCAAACATGCATAAAAGAATCATGGAAACACTCCAACTATGTTTTTGATTCTTATAACATGATGTAAAAGTTTTTTTAAAAGTGTTGATTTTACCTGACACCGCCCCTTTAAATTAGAAAGAAAACCATTTTTAATCTGTTTATAGTTGATTTTATTTATAAAGTAAATAAATACAACATTGTATGTTTTTGTTGTTATTGTTTTCGCTGTAGTTGTTAATACTGAGTTTATGAAACCACTGTTTACTGTTGTCTTGCTGCCTTTTGTCAGAGAAGCCTGACTCCTCTGAGGCCGGTCCTGTTTTCCTTGAGGCACACTCTGACTGCCATGGTGGAAACACTAATGACACTCACTGCATAGGCCTGACGTAAGAACATGGCAGTGAAGGTAAAGTCAAAACAAACATGAGAAATTCACCGTAATTGACCTTGATGAAGCTCTCACAGCACATTGCATCATGTTAAATTACACTAATTCACAACAAAAATACACTACAACTCAATATAAAATATCAGATGACTGAAATATAATGTAATTTTTGTAAAAAAACAAACAAACAAAAAACTTTTTTTCGGAATTCCAGTTTGGGCAATTTTAAGGTCGATGGAAATGCAGCTAATGTCCCTGTACATTTCTCCTTTGATCTTTCAAATATAGTGAGTGCAATCAGTGACATCCAAACAGTCAAACTCAGATTAAAAGTAGTTTATCCCATTATTTTACTGGATTGTTTAGCTGTTCTGCAGAAAACTAAAAAAAATATGCCAGCATGATGGAGCTTTATGCAGTCAGTGTGCATATATGCAGCTGAGTGCACTGTTTATTGTTTTAATAGGAAAGATTGTTTCAGGTAGATGGAAGAAAATCTTGAAAACACATATTACTGTTCATCCACTTCACAATTATGAACGTGCCTGTGTTGAAGGCAGATAAACAGTTTTCCTGTGACGGTAAGTTGTTTCATTTAGCAGCGGTTGATCATGAGGGTGATTGACAGCGCTAAGACCCTCCTCCTGGTTCTGATTGGTTGTTTTTGGTCTGGGATGGGGCTTTTCTTCACACAGCAACAGCAGTACAGGGAGGAGCTTGATGTTTTCATAGATTATCTGTCTCAAACTCATGACAAATATGTAGAAAACATTGTTTTATGAAGGTTACTTATTGCAGCTTTAACCAAGGTGTCAGTATTTTAAGTGCAATACAGTCATATCTTACATACATCATTACTTTCTATAAAATATAGAAAACCTCAAAAATGAAGTAAAATACTTTTTCCCCCTTCTGATCAGTTTCTGATAGATTTTAGGCTGATGACCGACACAGGCGTTGTTAGTCTGAGTCCATTCAAAATTTGAAGTTCAGGGAACATGACAAATTTTGTGAGATGTTTTATTGTTACAAAACAAAACTCTTTTATAACAAAATTATGCAGCACACTTTCAACAAAGTCTTTAATATGTGCAGCAAATATTTTTGCCAAAGTGAGAAGAACACATTTTCTAGTAGGAGTTTTGTTTTGGCAGCAAATATGAAACGGTTCCTTTTGTAAAATATTCTAAGATAAAATCTAAAGAAGGATTGGCCTTAATGAAAATATTTGGAAAGTTTTGAAAATGTATTTAAAATAAAAGACAAAAACACAGGAGACTGAATGTCATTTCAAGAGAGAAGTCACGTTATTAATTTTTACACTATATATAATTGGATTACAAAGACTCAATATTATCATCAGTGTCAATAAAAGCCATAAAGAATCTAAAATAACAGTTTCAGACAGAGTGGTGAGTAATATGGTACTTTTTGAAAGGCATTAATAATGAAAAAATGTTCCACATTTTGAAATTTATTTCCACACAATGTAAAATCTGAAACAATGAAAGCTGAAATGACAGAGTATCTTTTCCTCAGCTATGCAGAACGTCCATCTGAGCTGCTAAAGATATAATCTTAACGGTGCTTTGAAATAAAACTTGGGAGAGAGCGACTAACAGAAACATGACAAGGTTTCCGATGAATCAGAGAAACACTGGCACTCAGAGTACAGATTTAAAAAAGACAGACTATCAGTCAGACAATGTGGGAGTAAAAACTGAAGCTTTCCATCGAAAGGCAAAAATAATGAAAGCTTAAAGACGCTATTATTTTCCTCTGGCGTGACAGAACAACCGCTTCAGGTGTTTGTAAATTTCTTTCATTTTCAGTCCATATATGATGGGGTTAAAGAGAGGACTGTACATTATTATTTGTAGCGTCATCACGAAACTTACAGTCTTTGAAATGTCGGACTTCAGTCTGACAATGATCACATCGTAAGTAAGCAAACAGGAATAGTTTAATAAAACCAGCAGGTGAGGTAAACACGTCTGTGCAGCTTTTCTCCTCACGTCCCCACCGCTCCTACAGGCCACTATGATAATCATTGTGTAAGTGAACAGTATGAAAACCATTGGAAGAAGGCTGAGGTTGAACAGAACCACCAGGCCGTAAACATACAGCGCTCTTGAAATCACACAGAAGTTATAATTCACTGAGGTGTTGCAGTAAATGCCTTTCAAAGTAAAGCTGCACAGTTTTAAGTGAGCAAATCCAACGGCTGGCACAACAATATGGCAGGCGGGCAAAAGCCAAGATAAAACGAGGAAAACTGTCACTTTTGTTTTTCTCATAATGGTTGGATATTGCAGAGGCTTACATATGGACACATATCTGTCATAAGACATGGCGGCCAGCAGCAAGAATTCAGAGACGCTTAATGAATAGAATAAAAAACCCTGGAAGAGACAGAGCGGGAACGTTATGATCTGCTTTTCAGATAAGAAGTCGATCAAAAGCTTTGGGTAGACCACGGTGCTGAAGAGCATGGAGTTCATCAGCAGAGCAGCGATGAAAACGTACATGGGCTCATGGAGGTTTCTGTGGATCACAATCAGACAAAACACTGTGGAGTTGCTGGACAGGATCAAAACATAACCTGTAAACATGAGAACAAAGTAGACATATCTGTATTTTTCAACCTCTACATGACCATCAAGAGTGATGTATGTGACATTCATTTCAGTGGGCAACGTAGAGAACAGAAATGAAAAAGTGAGACAGGCTAATAGTTTCAAAGTGCTGCACATAAGAAAATTAGTCGAATGCAGCAGACTCTCAGAAAAAAAGTCAGACTGTTGACTGATATCGAAGGACCTTTTAAAGAGCTTTTCTGACCACCATGGATTTCAGAGGCTAGTCCTTGAAGAGATGTTGGCATGGTAACGAGCTTTATGTTGAAACAACAAGTGAGAAGGTACGGCTCATTGTGCATCCATCATCCTTTTACAGCAACGTTTGTGATCCGTATGCAGATTAGTGCACTTTAATAAGAAGTAAAGATAGGAAAACCTTTAGAGATTTGAGGGTCATGGGTTTATTTCTATTCAATTTAAAATCTTATTGTATATTTTGTAAATTTAGTCTTTAAATGCACAGTAACAAGATGCCGACATGTAACATAAAAGAGGCATAAAATGATGGATTTAAGTCAGAAATTTACACATTCAGCCAGCGAAAATCTGATTATGTTAAAAGTTCTGCATTTTATGCTAAATTAACAGTTTGTTCATGGCAGTGGCATTAGTAGCAAGGTTTCCTCCAGAAAACTTGCTAAGCCCAGTGGTTGGGTGTTAGAGCAGTCATTCATCCAGCGGTCCGCCGTGTTTTTGAGTTAAAAATGTTTAAACCTAACAGGAAATCTGAAAATATCCTTTGATATTTATGTACAATTGAAATATTGGAAGATTAATACGTGAACACCAACTATAAAATCTTAAAAAATGCAAACATTTTAAAAAGACTTAGATAAATAAGCAATGTTAAGCCTGGTTGGGGAACAAGTAAACCCTGGAGGCCTGCCAGGCTTACAATACACTGGGGGAAACCCTGGATAGGTAATCACGTTTTATTCAAACTTATGTTTAACAGATGTAGTATTGTATTAAACAAAACTGATGCTTATCACCGTGACAAAATACAAAAGCATTTCACTCTGGTTGAGAGTCTTCTTTGAAAACATAAAAAAAAAAATTAAAAAAAATCAGTAATTTCCATTTTACATTTATGCACAAATTAGTTTACTGTTCTAAAAACAAACTCTCTTTAAAAATATATTTACAGTAAAAAACATAATCCTAACATTTTAAAACAAAGTGACAAATGAATGTTGTTAGGTAAAAACTGAGACTACTTAAAATGATCAGTTTCTCTGATTTTACTTTTTAGAGGTATATGTTTGAGTAAAATGAACATTGTTCTTTTATTATATGAACTACTGACATCATGTCAATGAAATTCCAAGCAAATGTTTTGTGCTTATTTTCAGAAAATGAGAAATGGTCAAAATAAAGACCAGAGCTCAAATAATGCAAAGAAACAAGTTCATATTCATTTAGAAACAACAAAACTAATGATTTAACTCAGTTCAGAAATCTATATTTAGTGGAAAACCAGGAGGTTTTCAATGGGGTTCAGTGCAGTGGGCTCTTCATGTTTTCCAGAGCTGTATATGTACAAAATGTTTAATATTTTGTTTTGGCTGTAAATATACAACTAAACCTTTCATAAAACATTGCTAAATAACATCACGTCAGTGACAGGCTTTATTAACAAAAATTTGTGCAGCATTTTGAAATATATTTACAAAAAAACATAGGCACAAGGATCTTCTTTAGCTTCACAGAACAACCATTTGTTGTTTATATATATATATATATATATAAAACTATAACTATAATGATAGTACATCCTGTCTTAAATTACACAGGCTTTAAAACAAACTAGTTTAGAGTATCCTTATTGTATTTAAGGGAAATTAATGTGAGAAACACACAAAACTGATAAAATTCCACATGTTTACCTCTAATTATTAAAAAGTTTTCAAAAATAAATCAGACAAAAGACAAAAACGACCAAAGCTTTAAAAAGCTGTCACTTTCCTCTGGTGTGACAGAACAACCGCTTCAGGTGTTTATAAATTTCTCCCACTTTCAGTCCATATATGACTGGATTAAAAAGAGGATTATACATTATTATTTGCATTGTCATTACAAAACGTACAGTCGTTGAAATATCAGATTCCAACCTAACAATAATCATGTCATAAGTGAGCAAACAGGAGTAGTTGATTAACACCAGCAGGTGAGGTAAACACGTCTGTGCAGCTTTTTTCCTCACTTTCCCACAGCTTCTATAGGCCACTATGATAATCATTGTGTAAGTGAACAGTATGAAAACCATCGGAAGAAGACTGAGGTTGAACAGAACCACTAAGCCGTAGATCACTATCGCTCTTGAAGCCACGCAGAGAAGATAATTCACTGAATTGTTACAAAAAATGCCTTTCAGAGTGAAACCACAGAGTTTTAAATGAGCAAACAGAACAATAGCCACAGCTATATGGCAGGCAGGCACAAGCCACGCCAAGACGAGGAAGCTCCTCACTTTTGTTTTTCTCATAATGGTTGGATATTGCAGAGGCTTACATATGGACACATATCTGTCATAAGCCATTGCAGCCAACAGTAAAAATTCAGAACCGCTTAAAGAGTAGAACAAAAAAGCCTGAAAGAGACACGCTTCATAAGCTATGATCTGCTTTTCAGATAAGAAGTCGATCAAAAGCTTTGGGTAGACCACGGTGGTGAAGAGCATGGAGTTCATCAGCAGAGCAGCGATGAAAACGTACATGGGCTCATGGAGGTTTCTGTGGATCACAATCAGACAAAACACTGTGGAGTTGCTGGACAGGATCAAAACATAACCTGTAAACATGAGAACAAAGTAGACATATCTGTATTTTTCAACCTCTACATGACCATCAAGAGTGATGTATGTGACATTCATTTCAGTGGGCAACGTAGTTATGAAAACAGAAGAGAAACAAGTGAGACAGACTAACAGTTTTAAAGCCGTGCGAGCGAGAAGAGACGTCTTCTCCGTTTGTGAACTGTTTGAGACACGGGGACCTTTTAAAGAGACTTCTTTATCCACCGTGGATTTCAGACACTATTCCTTGAAGACAGGTTGGCATGGTAACAACTTCTGACAAGTTTAAGGGATGTGTGAGAAGCGATGGCTCAAATTGCATACGCATTACTTTTACAGTGAAGTTGGCTTCCATTAATCACATTATTTTTTAATTTGTCGTAAAACAAACATCAAATTTTCTGCTAAGCGTAGACATTTAATGGCACTGACAGTTTAGATCTTCTAGCCTGTTATATGCTTTGTGTTTTTAACTTACAGCTCTATACATGAGGGAACAGATGAAACAAAAACAAAAAGATTTCCAAGAAAAAAATAGCTTCCCCTGTAAAGGTCTTTATTGGGTCTTGAGTTCAAATTTGAGATTTTGAAGTGTATTCATGTAGCACATTTAAAATCAAATACAATGTTACCCAAAGTTCTGTGCAGACGATATACAAATTATTTTGAAATGTCTCGTTTGCTTGTACTGAGTCAAATAATGGGGCCATAAGAAGGACTCTGGAGAACTTGGCTGCATATGAGGAGGTAATCCAGGATCTTGATTCAGTTCTGATGGAAAAACTGCAGGAAAACCGGAGTTGAACACTGTTCTAGGGATTTGTAGTGATTGGTTCCTTTGCCTTGTACTTCTGTTTAAGATGACAGCAATGATGAACATGGCACCAGAGAGAAATGATGATGAGGATGAAGACAGTCTAGGAGAGGAGGATGGTGACAATGATCTTGACACAAGAGAGGATGATGATGATGCCATGGATAGGATAAGAAGGCGTTGAAGGGTTTTTAAGACTGTAAGGCAAGGATAAAAATGACACAAGATGACGACGGTAATCTAGAAGCACTTTCTGGAAACAGAATTGAAGGAGTTTCTGAAGACAGCACCCTTTTTTATTAAGTTTGAGTCTCTAGAGCCTCAAACTGTTATCCTCAAGGGCCTGCCAGTAACTTAGATGTCTCTCTGTTTCAGCACACCTGGATCCAATATGAACTCATCAGCAGACCTTGACTGCAAGGTAGAGAGACTGTTTCACAATAATTTAATTCAATTTTGTAGGACAAGGGACACACGTAAAAGTTGTAGGACTCCGGCCCTCGAGGACTGCAGTCAGAGACCACTGCCGATCAGATTGGTGTTTCTCATTTCTGGTCCTCAAGGCCCACTGACCTGCACATTTCAGATGTGTTCAAATGACTGCATGACCTCGTCTGCTTGCAGAAGTCTGTTCATCACCCACTCCTTCAGGTCAGCTGTGTGGCAGAAGGAAAAAATGTGTTGACTTTCAGTTGTGACTGTGCTTTCTTGTATGTCATGAACTGCTGTGACCATAAATATATTTGGTGTTTTAGTGACTTGGGAGAGCAGTGCTTGCTTGTTGGGGGAGGCAGTATGCTTCGTTTGTGACTTGCTTCCTGGAGAAGTACAATTCTTAACTCTCTTTTCCTGGGACTTCTGGTTCTTATTTTTTACAGTTAAGAGACAGAATTTCACTCTCCTACTGTGAGACCTGAGTGTAAACCTTGATGGTTCCCTTAGGAAGGTGAGAGCAGTGATCCAATCTAGCTTCTATCATTTCAGACCGCTAGATAAAACATTTGGCTTCCCTTCACCGACTCCCTGTCTATCTTAGGGTTCAATTAAATTTAACTTTTTGTTTTTAAATCACTGCGGCTCAAACCTTGCGTAGTTCTGAGCCGTTCCTTTCATGCTCCGAAACACGAGGTCCAGTGCAGAGTTATTGCTTTCCGTTCCCAGATCTAAGCTGGTGAAGACAGTCTTCTCTGTGGCGTGTTTCTGGAATAGCCTCTCCCTAAATATTAAGTCAGGAGAAACTCTAGAGCATTTTAAATCCCTTTTTTATTAAGTCTCGACTTTTTGCACATTGACCCAAATGGTTTTGTTTTACTGTTACATTCTTTCTTACCAACTGTCTTTGTTAGCTTAACAGCCTCTTAAGCAGCTTTTTTAAGCTTAAGTGGCCTTTATTTGAGAGCAGTTAGACAGGAATTTGGGTAATGAAAGAGGGGGAAGACATGGGGCAAAGGTCATCAGGCCAGGAATCGAACCTGCGGCGGCCGCGTCGAGGACTAAGGCCTCTTTATGTGGGTTGTGCTTAACCCCTGCACCACCACAGCCACTATATGCTGTTTCTGCTTCCGTCTTTTTTGATTTTTAACAATATGGTTTGTGTTTACATGCAAAGCACTTTGTGCAGTTTGTTCTGTTGGAAACATGCTGTGTGAATAAATTTGACCTTGATGTGTCTGAAAGAGGTTGTTTTGCTAAAGGTTAGTTATTTTTTATTTAAGAAGAACCTTTTCGTGAGCAGTCATCTCAAAGTGTTCAAAGAAGAAGAATATGTTTTGAATATGTTCTCTTTCAGTCAAAAATACTCTTTTCATTTGCTATTGTCTCTGCTGATGTGGACCAAACTACTTAAAAAAACACGATCTAACTGAACATCTCTAACACCCCAACGATCGACCACCTCAACGCTAAAGCGCTAATCTAGAACCGTAAGCCTCCTCAGTTCTCTACTTCCCCAAATTCAAGCCCCACTTGAGCCGACAATCTCTCTCCAGAATCCTGAGACCAGAACCTCATTGTACCAATTCATTATTTATTGTAAATAAACCTTTTTCTTACCTGCATTCTTTGTATAATTTTGCATGTAGGTCAAGAAAATAACCAAAATCCTGACAACTGGGATGGGATTTTTTTTTTAATGTTACGTCAATACTTAATCCAAAAAAAAACATTTATTTTACCTTATATGTCATAAAAAAAGGTTTATGCAGCAGTTCCTGTAACAAGTGGAATGAAAAGGGAGAAGAAACACAAACACAATATTTCATATTTAAATATAATATTTAGCTTTTATTTGACTTATAATGTGTGACAGTCAATCATTCACTGCTTTTGTTTCAATGATCACAACTTTTATATGTCTTCAATTTTTTGTTGAGTTCATGGAAAACACAACTAAAAGGCAATAAATCAGCCTGTAGTTAGATGATAACGTTCAAATACTTTAAATAAATAGTTTGAAGGAACAAAAATAATCTGCAGATTATTTTACACGACCGAAAAAACGTTTTAGGTGTTTGGAGATTTCTTTCATTTTCAAACCGTAGACAATTGGATTAAAGAGAGGATGGTACAGCAACACCTGCATCGTCATTAACAAGCGTACTGTTTTCGAGATGTCCGACTCCAGTCTGGTCGCAATCACATCGTAAACACAGAAGAGTGAGTAGTTGAATAAAATCAGCAGGTGAGGTAAACATGTCTGTGCTGCTTTTCTCCTGACAGCTTTACCGCTCCGGTACGACATAACTAGGATCCTCGCGTAGGTAAAAACTACGTAAAGGAAAGGAAAAAATGTAATACTTAGCAAATTAATCACACCCAAAAGGGACAGCGTGTGCGAGATCTTGCAAGCGAGCTTATGAATGGCTGAGTTACAAAAAAATCCTTTCAGGTTGAAGCTACAAAGTCTGTGTTTAGCCGTCAGTAACCAGAGAGCAACCAGACAGGCAGGCAAAAGCCAGGCCACAAACAGCAGGACGCAGACGGTGGTTTTCCTCATCACGTTTGCATATCGCAGAGGCCTAAATATAGACACGTACCTGTCATACGCCATGGCTGCCAGCAGTAACAACTCTGCATTCCCAGTAACATAATAAAAGAAATATTGAAAGTGGCACATTGCGTGTGATATGATCTGTCTCTCAGACAGGAAGTCGACCAAAAGCTTCGGGTAGATTGCCGTGCTAAAAAGAACAGCATTCAGCAACAAGGCCGCGATGAAGACGTACATGGGCTCATAGAGATTTTGGTGAATTACAATGAGGTAAACAATCGTGCAGTTACAGCAAACAATCAGAATGTACACCGTCAAAATCGTTAGAAAGTACAAATATCGATATTTCTCCACCTCAACATACCCGTCGAGCGTTATGTAGGTTTCATTCAATTTGTCACCCATCGAACCAGTGAGAAATCTAAGTCAGTAGAGCAACCTTGTTACCAACATATTGACTGATAAAACTCCTTCAGAAGACACTGAAAATATAATCTGAATTTGAAGGGACTTAACGACAACAATCAGCTGTTATTTACGATGAAGTCAACCCAGCAGTTTGAGAGGGAAGTCCCTTTGAGTTTCCAGGATGTTGTTCTCATAAAGGTACATATTTCCCTCTGGAGCTCATTAAACTTTCCAACTAATGGATCCAACTCTCCAAACACAGGAGGCCGAATTTATTAGATGTTGTCTTTATTATTGTGACATGATCAATACACGAACAAGTTATGGTTTGGGCTTGTGTCAGTAATTGTGTTGATAGTATAATTTAGTTTTAAGTAAATTATTAATGGGCTGTCTGGATATCTACTTATAGCACAATCAAGTAACTATGTTACCTTTCTTGTTATAAAAATGCTATATATCAAATATGACTAAAGAAATCATCACCACATGGCTGCTCTATTAACTCTTTAACAAGGTTTTTACCAGCGTTGCACTGAGAAGTAGTTTGCATAATGAGCTCACCAAATGCTCAGCTCCACCAGGTGTTTGCTAAATGCTGCTGACTAGTCTGAAGGAGCTGAGTGGGGGAGTCACGAGGAGGGGTGTCTTGTGAGGTGGAAGCTTGAAAATTTGGAAATTGCAAACTTGGCAACACTCCAGGTATGTTTTGGACTAACCCAGGGTGAAACAGCGAACCAAAATCCCCACTCCATGGACTCCCTCCCCCTCCACCTTCCCTCCTACCCTCTAGCCCCAACATGGGTTCCCCACCATGTTGGGAGCACACAAACATCAAACACATGCACCCAAACACAGTTGTCACAAATTTCCCATCCATAAATCTCCCACCGCCTGTCCCTAAAGGGGACATCCCTGCAGGAGAGCTCCAATCCCAAAAAGGTGATGAGAGGATGCTCAGCACACAGCTCCATTTCATTGTCACCGCCCAACCAACCAACCAAAATGTCAGCAGCCCTGCACCCAAAAAAGGATGCAACCACCCCACAACCCTCTACTCCCAATCGTCTCTGGGGGGCTGACTTTGAGAAGGAAGTCGCTCTGTTGCCCCCCAACCCCGGCCTGCCCGCACGAAACAATACCATGCCAGTCAGGAACCCATACCCAAACCGACGCACTGCTCCAGGCCAAGCTCAATCTGCCTGCCACAAAGAGTCACCACAAGGTGCACCCCACTGCTTTGCCCACCTGACAGAGACAGAGTGAGTGGGGGCCAGACCAGCAGGAAGAAGCAGCAGAGGAAGGCTAGTCCAGCACACCAAAGATCAGGCACCCAACCAACCCCTCACCACGAACCCACAGGCATGCTGGCAGCTCACTATCTACACACAACACATCCACCTTAAATGGCACACCAGGTCCAAAATGAAACCACGTTCCCGATTACTGCCACACACCTCTAATGGCCAGCAACAGCCAGCCAGAAACCCGGGGTCACTTTGGCCAATGAAGGGTTGGCCATCGCAGTCAGGACTCGTGATCCAAAAGTCTGAGCAATCCTGGGAGAACCAGAATCCCCCCAAAGCCCGAAGCCACATGGCCTGCTCCTCCTGCCGGCCCCCCAACTCCTAACAGAGAATAGGGGTATGAAAAGACCCCAAAAGACTTTTCCATACGTTGTGGGGTTTCTCCTTATCCTAAAGCCAAACAAAATCAGATTAACATTTATTCGTAACATGTCGGAGCTTGTGTGAAGGGGTGAGATCCACATAGTTTAGACCAGTGGTTCCCAAACTTTTTCTTTTGCGCTCCCCCCAGTGGTTTCCAAACATTTTCTGCGCCCCCCCCCTATCTGGTTGAAACGACGAGTGTGTGTGTGTGTGGGGGGGCCTCGACTTTTTTGGGGGCAAAATGAAAATAGACACCAGCATCGGTAGCCTACAAGCTACTTGTTAAGCTTAAGGTTCTGTATTTATATTAGCTAGTCATCTTTTAGTTAACATTACCTGCATCCAACAGCTTTACTCAACTCAGTCGGTTAGTTTGGGGGAAAAACTGAAAAGTTCTTTGCATTTTGCTGGTTTGCTGCCGTGATTCTAACACAAACCTGCATAGCTCCGCACAGCAGCAGCAGGTCTCCTTCACAGGTGGAAACCCAGCGCGAGCGTCGGAGCGCTCATGTTGCGTTTAAAGGCGGCTCGGAAAAACAGGTTACAACATGTTAACAACGGATTAAACAGTTTTAACTGCTGATAAAAGTGACAGAGGACACAAATATGGGAAGTGTGGCAGCCTCTACTGTATTAAATTGACATAGGAATAACAGAGAGTTGGCCATTCTAAGGTAAAAAACCAGCGCATACAGTGTTCATGTTTTTTTTTGTTTTTTTTTTTATCCAGACGGCTTCCCGCGCCCCCCCTGCAATGACACGGAGCCCCCCCTAGGGGGCGCGCCCCACAGTTTGGGAACCTCTGGTTTAGACTGTTGGGACTGTTTCAGTCTGTTTCTGGCTGGATTCTTTCTGGCCCATCTCCAGATGGGGTCGGGACCGGCATCTAGGCCTGGATGGCTTGGCTGGTGCTCAGATTCAGGTGTTTGTCAGATGCACTCTCAGTTGGGCTGCTATTGCCACTAAATACATCTTGTATCAGCTTGAACTTTCCAATGATGTCAGTTATTAGTATTATATGTGCATATGTTGTTTGTTGTTTTTTATCCTCTTTCCGCAGGTCAGAGTTCAAAGGTGTTGACTTGTGTTCTCTATATGCTAATTTCTCTTCCCTACTCTTATCTCCTTTCCTTTTAAGCCTTTTCCTTTTTTCTATTTTATTTGTGTCCATTACATTTCAAATAAACCCAACACATTTTTTGTAAAGTTTTATATATACATATGAAATAGAAGCTGTAATTCTCCGCTTGTGAAAGTAAATCTGTTGGGCCTGATAGAAGATGTTGATGGCTGATGTAATGGACCTCCAGAGACGAGCTGTCTGGAGGTTCGTAACGTGCTGAAGCAACCTTATAAAATTTTATCAAAGGCTCAGTGTGCTTCATTTCAAGCAGCGGACTCACTGAGTGCACTACCATGAACAATGAGATGAATGTTACCTACATTTTTCTGGATGGGTATGTGGAAATGAGCAAATACAGATATGCTTACTTTCTTCTGATGTTCTCAGCCTACGTCCTAATCATATGCAGTAATTTGACAATCGTGTACCTCATCTGGGTTAACAAAAACCTCCATGAACCAATGTATGTCTTCATTGCTGCCTTGCTGGTGAATTGTGTCTTTTACAGCAGCACCACTTACCCAAAGCTTCTGATTGACTTCTTGTCTGAAAAGCAGAGAATAACCTACGAAGCCTGCCTCCTTCAGTTTTATTTCTTTTACTTTGTGGGTCCGGCAGAGTTCTTTCTGTTAGCGGTCATGTCTTATGATCGGTATGTGTCCATATGTAAGCCTCTGCTCTATCCAACAATTATGACAAACACCACTGTCACCATTTTCCTGGTTTTCTCTTGGTTCGTTCCTGCTTGCCACGCATCAATTCCACTAATAATGCTCAGCAGCACCAAAGTTAAACTCTGCAGCTTTAACATCAGAGGGATATTTTGTAACAATGCAGTCTACACGCTTCAGTGCGTGATGCCGAGATCTCTTGCTATATTCGGTGTGTTTGCCATTCTAGATATTGTAATACTTCCTATACTTTTCATCCTGTTCTCCTATACAAAGATCCTGATCATTTCCTACAGGAGCAGCAAAGAGGTCAGGAGAAAAGCAGCTGAGACCTGCCTGCCCCACTTGTTGGTGTTGTTCAGCCTGACTTTGTTGAGCGTGTACGACATATGCATTGTACGCGTGGAGTCAGACTTTTCAAAAACGGCCCGTTTAATCATGACGTTGCAGATTGTTCTGTATCACCCTTTGTTTAACCCGTTTATATACGGATTTAAAATGAAGGAAATTTACAAACATCTGAAGAGGTTGTTCTGGCAAGGAAAAGCTGTCTTCAGTAAAAATCTGCAGTAATTGCAGTCAATACTTCTGATGCACCATATGCAAAATATGTTTTACCTAATGTCGTTTAAAGTTTTACTATTATTGTGTCTATTTATCTGACGAATGTCAATATTACAAGTTTGCAGCGGATAAATATTAGAAATAAAATCACCAAATTAGCCCATGTATACAATGTATTCATTTGTAAATGTTTGTATTATCCTTTACAGAATAAAATTTGCCAAACAATTTTGATTTTGTTATTTCTGCCCCCTTACTCTAAAACTCTGTGCACATCAACAATTAATAAATAATATAATTAATAGACTGTGAGACGATCAGATAGTGTTGCTCATGAATTAAAATGTATACAGTTTCAATTCGAGATGCCACTACTAGTGGAACAAATATCATACAATAGAGGAAAAATTACATTTAAGATAAAGTAATCCTTTAAGTTTACTAGATAAACACACGTCACGATGTCAGTGTTTTGGTGTGTTGTGGGGATTTGCGTTCAACAGTTTCAGTTTTCTTTCAGATAAAGGTTTTATTTCTTGTTTGTAAGTATCAAGGTAATTACTTCTTCAGCTCAATCTCCTTCCTGTTAATGCAGCTCCTGTAGATCAGTTATTCCCCTCACCTGTCCACCGTAGTGTTTAAGTTAGAGTCATGGCTTTGTCTGTTGCAGGATTCTTGTACATCTTACGTCTGTTATTTGGTCAAGTCAAGTCTCTGAAATAAATCTACATTATGCCACGCTGCCGTTCGTATTTTGGCTCACCTTTATTTCCTTCACCACCAACCCTGAAAAGAGATGCTTAAATATTGTCTGCACTTTCTCATCGAGTTAATTGCAGGGTTCTAGTTAACAGCATTTTAAGTGAAAACCATATGTCAATATTTTCAACTCAAAAACTATTTTTGCTATTATTGAATAATTAGACATGTGAACTCAAAAATATGCTCACATGTCATGTTTTGCTTTTA